CCCCCCAACCAGGCATACTACCTTGGGGGCGGAGGCTGTGGAATCGCGTGGGGCAGATCGCTAGTGCTGTGTATTTTGGGACGGCAGAAGAAAGAGGATAACCAGAGTATGGTGCCAGACAGGGTGCCTGAAAGGGAGATGCAGGAAACCTGAGGGGGACGGGAGGCATGGGGGGTGGGGGAAGCAGCTGGCTTGAGTGGCATCTTCCTTCCTTATGGAAAAGCCCCCACCCAAAAAGACCCGAAACCCAACAAGAGCTGCTGGCTTTGTGTAGTGCAGTGTTCAGACAGCTCTAAAACACAGTTACATTCCACCCCCGGTACACAGTATGGTTTAATATTCTTAATAAGCATCAAATGGTTTCAGAGCAAAGCTCTTCATAAAACATTCTTTCTGAATACAGTTTGGCATCACCTCGGTGGTTGCCTAGCAATGCTAACAGACCAGAAAACTGCTGAAGGCAACACTGTCCTTCCCCCCAGCCCGGTTCACAGCACCGCAGAGTCCAGCTGCAGAAACAAACTGATCCGGGCAGTGGCCACTCGGGGCAAAGGCAGGAGACGGCTGTTTCCTTGGTACCTGCAGATGTGCTGAGGCAAGAAGCAGATGTGCGGGTTTGGGAGTGTGTGATTTTGTTGCTGTTGTTTAGTTTCGGTTTTGGTTTTTGTTTAATTGTGGCTCTTTGGTAGCGGTAAAGGTTAAGAAGAAAACAAAAATGAAAAGCCTGCAAAGAATCATGTCCAGCCAAGAGCAGAAGCTGCCATTTGCCTGATGAAACCAAACGGCTCCTTCTCGTGGTGGGAAATTCCATCATCGAGAATTCAAACGTGGAGCAACCTGAGGTGATGGGGGGCACAAACAAAAGGACTCCAGTTAGTAGTTGAAAGTGCAGCGGGAGCAAAAGTTACTCCCCTCTTGAGCCAGTCGTTCAAGAGGCCTGCGAGCCTTGCACGTAAGGCAGGATGTCACGTATTCAGCTTCAGCGCTGCGGGTGCAAGCTGTAGGGCCCTCCTCAGAACAAACCGACGCCCCCTTCCCATAAGAAACAGCAAAGGCCTCGGCTACAGGGCTTCTGGGACCAGCTGCTGCACACCTGGAAGCGGCCTAAAGCAGCACGCCGCAGGTTCTGCCACTGCAGGAGCACAGCACGCACCTGGTGGTGTCGCAGACCTCTCACACGGAAGCAAAGTGACAGAACTATTATATCGTAAGGACAGCGTGGTCGGGGGCACAGTCGCCTTCCTACAGCAACAGTCTACCTCGCTCCCCCACCCCACAATGTGCTGTAGCTCAGATGGAGCCAATTAATGTGATGTAGCTGTTCTGAATCCAGCTGCTTAAGGCAGTTACACATGACACCGAACAGTCCTGCACCTGCCTGCGCTACGAAGCTGAGCACCTGCAAGTGAGAAGAGGGGGAGCACGAGTGCGGTGGAAAGCCTGATGGTCCACTTACCACAGTGAGGTGGCCGTTCTTGGCTTTTGCTATAAGCAGCTCAGAGCCTGACGTGAAGTCTATGATGCCTTCTTTTCCTTGTCCCACTGTAAATTTTATGCTGGCAGCAAAGAAATGAGATTTAGCAGTTCCTGCATTAGTCTCTATGAATCATAGTGCTTGGCTGGTTCGGGGGGGTGGTGGTCAGGTCAGGTCACAAAGCCCATGAACGCACAGACTAAAGACTCCTGGCAAACATAACATGTTCTTTCTCATTGTTGGTCACAAAACCCATGGACGCTCAAGCCATGCTGCAGACAGGCAGAGCCGGGGCTGATGTCCAGCATGACCATGTGCTCTGTACCCAGGCAGGAGACTGAGCAGAGCTGTTGCCGCAGCTGACCCAAGCCAGGGGGCTGTCAGGTTGGCTTTGCCGCAATACAGTCTATTCCAGGCCTTTGGGCAGTTAGCCACTATCAACATGCCTGTCAAAACCGTATCAAAAGAGAGGCAGCTGTGCTGCTTTTTTTAAACTTTATTTCTTGTTTACTGAGTTGGATACAGCTCTTTTCTTATTCCCCCTCTGCCTCCTAAAAAACTCCCAGATGCTCCTACCTGCCAGTTTTCCCCCTCTCCACAGCCCATCATTGCATCTCACCTCCCAAATGATTGGGGTGGGGGGGGAAGGTAGGGAGGGGATCTTGCAGCACTGTATACCTGAACTACTGTGGTGGAAACTTGGGGAGGGGGGGTGGGGGAAAGAGGCAATTGTTAAATAGGCTTCCCCTCCCTCTTTTTTCTGATAAGCATACGCATGTGACCCCCCCTCCCCACAAACTGTTACAGACATCTAGTCTGTGTTGGCATAGGTATACAATTCAAATGCAAGTAGTTTAACAGGACTAATATGGAGGATGTGTGTTTAATAAGTGACCTTGTACCTGGGATCGTCTGACTATATTACCAATGTTTTTATAGTGTCAGGATGTTGGCTGCCATGGTTCCCCTACTTCACCTGTGACAGGTTTGGGTGTTGTGTCGGTGTTGACGGTAGTCTTACCAAAAATGATTTTAGATTATGGATTTGTGTAGGCTGATTTCACTATGGATGATCCTGCCACTGGCAAGGGGTGGGAGTAGGGGAGCCTTCTAACCCTGCTTCTATGATACTGCGGGGGTGCTTGCGCGCGCGCACGTGTGTGTGTGTGTGTGTGTGTAAAACCATGCAAATAGGTAGTGTATGAGCCAATGGAAATACTAGTGTGTGTAACAAGACAAATGACTTGGGTGTGCATTTCCACAAAGAGATACAGCTCCGTGTGTGACAAAGGAACAGCAGTGCAAATACACACAATCACTGTCTTTGTATTGCACTGTTCGATACACTGCCCCCCCCACTGTATTTGCATTGCTAAACCCATATAATTTATTTGACTCATTCCACTGTATGGTTAATGATGCAAATACACTGGGGGTGAGGGTGTTTAGTGTACAGTGTATGTGTAACGATGCAAATACATGTTGTATGCATCATAAAGCAAATACATTGTGTGTGTGCACTTCACTATGTAAATGCAGTGACTGTGTATGTGTATTTGTGTGTACACACACAATATTGAATTGTTAAAGACACACATGCCTGTACCTTAGCTGTATTGTTAAACACACAATGGGCATGTCCTCCTGCTTAATGCAAATAATTATGATGTCACTGGGATAACGGAGACCTGGTGGGACTCCACCCATGACTGGACCACGGGTATAGACAACTGTACCCTGTACAGGAGGGACCGTGTAGATAAAAGGGGCGGTGGTGTAGCTCTCTATGTTAAGGAAAAGCTACGCGTCCCTGCAAGCTGATCTTGGCGACCAGGGTGGACGCCTGGAGACCCTCTGGGTTAAAATCTGTGGGGAACACAGCACTGGGGACACAACGGTGGGAGTCTACTACAGACCTCCCACC